ACACTATATGAAATGTGGAAGTTAATAACTAAAACAGTCTTGATCTTTTACGCATGATCTCAGTCAAAGGTTTTAATAACTAATTAGTACAACACAGAAAGGATGATCAAGTTGACACTATTTTAGTTAGGGTAACAACTCATTCACAAGTACTGTCACCTTGACAACTGGTCACAAATTTTGTGGAGTAATGACAGCCTGTTAACACAGTTATGAAATGATGTCTAAACATGGGTCTGAAGGCATTCTGTGAAACAAAGCTACCATGACGTGTATCAACATTGGGGAAACAGATGTAATAATTTAAGATAAGAGTCCACAAATTCATATGTTCATGGGTATAAAACCATTTTAAATGAACATTTTCCTGGCATCATAATGCTTTTTTGGTCCAGCAATATCTAAGAATACCCCATTCAAAATACATATTATAGAACATCTTTAGGACCTTCTGGGGGAAGGGGGGGGGTCTTTCTAAGGGTATAGACTACAGCCTTTCAGTCATTATCAACTGGCTAAACGTTTTTAAGGAACAATTACTGTAAATTTACCCAGTCACCTAATGGAATCTGATTAAAATGAAGCCCCACAGGGTTGCAACTGATATTCAAACCAAGGTTAGTGTTACATAACTACTAAGCCACCCTCCATCCAACTATCTTTCTAGATAAGTTTGAACTAGTAACGAGCATGTGTGTGTGTGTTTATCTAGAAACAAGGCTTTGAGTAAACTCTGAATGTTGCATATGCAGGGATAAAAATGGGCAAGATTTAAAATATATTTTGAGTCCAATGTTGGGTACTGAAGCTCTATAGAGCATTCTATACTCTCTTTATTTTCCCCATATATCTGACAGATAAGATGGCCATACATTTTACAGCAAATCAGACAACATTTGATAGAGCATTCTATACTCTCTTTATTTTCCCCATGTATCTGACAGATAAGATTCCCATACATTTTACAGCAAATCAGAAAATTTTTGTTAGTCATTTGATAGTTTTACACTTTTGGTTAGTTCTATGTGTCAAAATTATAGGTAATTCCCGTAACGTTTATAGGTTTGGGACGTACAGTGCATGGAGCTTTTTAGGTAAACAACAGATATCATTCTTTCTCCAATCAGACCCACCTAACTTTATTTTTAACAGAACTATCAGCTTCTCTATTCCTCACTTCATCATGCCATTCAATAATCTTTGCCAATTCATTTCATCTTTAAATTAAATTAATGTGCACATTTTTAACGAATTCTTTAGACAAAAATTTATGCTGTAAATATGCCATTTTGAAAGATCTGGAAAAAGTATTCTTTTCTGGTTAGTCATACGTAACGTACTGAAACACAAATAATACGTATTTGTTGTGTTGACTGAAATATGGCAGAGCTCGACTATTCAAACTCAGCGTTGAGAGTGTTTTTATGGAACACAAATAATACGTAATTGTTGTGTCGACTGAAATATGGCAAAGCTCGACTATTCAAACTCAGCTTTGAGTGTTTTTACAGAACACAAATAATACGTAATTGTTGTGTCGACTGAAATATGGCAGAGCTCGACTATTCAAACTCAGCGTTGAGTGTTCTTACGGAACACAGATAATATGTAATTGTTGTGTCGACTGAAATATGGCAGAGCTCGACTATTCAAACTCAGCGTTGAGAGTGTTTTTACGGAACACAGATAATATGTAATTGTTGTGTCGACTGAAATATGGCAGAGCTCGACTATTCAAACTCAGCGTTGAGTGTGTTTTATTTTTGAGTGTGTTATTAAAGTAATGTTTGATGAATCACCCCACCCCCCTAACTTCCTGTAAATCCGTCAATTGATGGAAAATTCTCATCTTTACATATTAAAGAAAATCAGGTACATCTGAAAGTGTGTAAACATGCAAGGAAGTTGCTCATTTACAAGGAATGCGATTATATTATTTTTTTTATTTACAAAATGAAATTTCATTAGAAGAGGTTAATAAAGGAAGGTTTAATTAAAGTTTTTTAAAAATAAAATGATGTTTCATATTGTTAGTGGATCCCTTACAGAGTAAGTGGAACTGTGTTGTTTGTAAGGTACGGGTGGTAACTGTACATCACATTCCAGTGGATGAAGGGTATGAGAGAAATAGGTTTAGCTCTAGTAAGATAACAATGTAGTGCCTAAATGCACTTACGCTTTGTTTTTGTTCATAAATTACCAAAACCCTGAACATAATTGTGCATGTCTTTGGTTATGAAGTCTGTTCTGTTTCATAATATTTATAAAAAGTATTTGAAAGTTACCAATATTTGTTCGTTTCAAAATTACAATCTTTCAACAAAACTTCCAATTAGGTCAAATATATAAAATATCTTTCTCATTATCAACACATGATTTTTATCATCCTATAGGAACCTCCAAGTGTTAGAGAAAGTCCAAAAAAACTTATGTAAATAGCTTTGTTTTCAATGTAAAACTCTTAATGCGTAAATAACGTTTCTGAAATTTTAATGACGACTCTTAGGAAAGAGGAATGTGAAAAATGTTTCGTACAAATATAACTTACTTCTATAATGAAATCAGCAGTAAAATATAACAAATAATATGGGTGTGATCTCACAAAATGGCAATATCTCTACTGGACGGATTAATTGATACAAATCACTTTCTGCTTGTCAAAGTAATGGAAATGTCCAAAACTACTAATAATAAGTAACTTTCATTCGAGTTTTAAGGAAAAAAATAGCCCTTAAATTTAAACATTATAGCATGAATTACAATATACTGACAAGGATTCAAGCACTAGGATCTCTTGTGTTGATAATATAACTAAATAACTGTAATTACCACTAGAAAGTTAAAGAAATGATATTTTAAACACATTTTACTTTAATAACAATGAATTATGTGATTTTGAATATACGAAAATTGCTGAATATTTGAATTGAGAAGATATAAACACATAACCTCTCACAAAAGTCTAATCTTTTTTTATCTACCTTTATTTGGACAAATCAGCATCCTAAAATATAATTTATCCACATCTCTCTAAGACTACAGATTTTCAGTTTGGTTAAAGATAATCACCAAAATGTAAATCATCAAAGATTCTTAAAAACAAAAATGTCTTTACAAAATATTTATATTACACCTGCTTTAGGAGAGCTTCTAAACAAGCTTTTAGGCACATATAGTTCTACAATAAAATATTTTCATTCTTGTTTCTTTTACATACATCAAAATGCAACTAACAAAGCATTTAAGTTGACAAATGTATATCTATATTTTTGTAAATATTAACTGTAGTAGAAGTCATTATAAATCATGTTCAGATGAAAGTAGCTTATGATAAGCCTGCATATTAGCTGTAGTATAGGTCATTATAAATCATGTTCAGATAGAAGTAACTTATAATAAGCCTGCATATTAGCTGTAGTAGAAGTCATTATAACACATGTTCAGATGGAAGTAACTCATGATAAGCCTGCATATTAGCTGTAGTAGAAGTCATTATAAAACATGTTCAGATGGAAGTAGCTTATGATAAGCCTGCATATTAGCTGTAGTAGAAGTCATTATAAAACATGTTCAGATGGAAGTAGCTTATGATAAGCCTGCATATTAGCTGTAGTAGAAGTCATTATAAATCATGTTCAGATGGAAGTAACTTATGATAAGCCTTAAATGGAAACCACAATACAATAAGTTTGAAATCATCTTGCCACAAAGTATCTAATCATAACTCACAAAACTAAACTATTTAAGAACTGAACTTCTGGCTGATTTAACTATTTTGTACAATTAGAAAAACTAGTCCTTTCAAAATTACAATTAACTTATATAATAACTGGTTTTGAAAGCAAATTTTTTCTGTAAAAATCTCATACAGACACAGCCTAATAATGTTTTAATCTCCAAGAATTGAAAAGAAAGCCCCAAATATAAGGAGTAAAAAAACAAATTTCAATAGACATTTAGATGTATCAAAAACCAGATTATGTATTCATAAGGATATATTAAACTGTGTAAAAAATGCTGTTTGCCGAGGTATTATTAGTTATAATCTTTATCCAAAGTAAATAATGCAGGCCAAGTATCATCTCAACACACACACACACACACGTGTGTGTGTGTGTGTATAACACTAAAAATGACATTTTGAAAAGGCACAAATGGGCCAAGTTATTCACTATTGTGCACCAAGAATATATGAAATGATGTTCTGAACAGTTAAAACATGTAATAGTTAACAGAAGAAAATGATAACAAATCTATATTAGTGTTTAGAGAAGATACATGTAAATTGACTTAAGTTGTTAATTGAAGTAGGTGGATGTTTTAGTTCTTACTAAACATATCAAGTGAAGAAAGTGTTGGTAAAGAAACTGAACTGTGGCTATATTCTTTGGTTTTTTTACGCACTGTTTACAGTCTTGTTTTAATGAATTTGTCCATAGATAGAATCACAAGGTATGTAAGTTCACTGAACTCCAGACTGAAGTTGGAGTTTCACCTACATGTTAAAAGAGAGAAGAAAAAAAGTTAACTGTAGTTACCAAAGCCTTCTTACATAATAATAAAAAACAGCTCAAAATCTATACAGTTGTACTTGCAATCCCAATAAAAAAATTAAAAAAAACTGAATCACTGTTACTTGGAGCCACAAAAAAAAATCTAGAGATAATGAAAAAATTAAGCACAACATAACATTTATCTAGAAATTTGTGTCAAATTAAAAATGATGGTAACCAAAAGAAAAACACTGTTTCTGGAAGTATCATAAAATTGTAGTATCACCCCTTCTAAACCTAAAACAGTGTATGACATTTATAAATTGAATGGATATTTTATCAGAAACATCAAAAATATTATTCTGCAAAACTTGTACATTTTGAATATCAATACACATTTAGCTAATCCTTTAAACAACTGATGATGAGTGTTTCTCTTCATTTCTTCTTGCCACCTCTACAGATATCACTGATACCAAACTTGTTCAATCGGCAAGTTCCATCTCTGCTTATATATATGCAGAAGGCTCTCCTCTATCATGACTCACGAGTACTCTTTTTCAAAAGCAAAAAGATGTTCCATTTGAAAGAACTGCTCATTTCACCTTTCCATAATGAGTATAAATTTCTGTTTAATTAGGTATATTCAGTTAATTTCTCTATATTCTGTTCTGGTGTTCTTAATGTAGTTGTGATAAACTTGTCAACTGGATGTACAAATGTTATCAACTTGCAATAACCCTGTACCTTAATTAGACAAAGATCACAAATGATAATGCTTGTTCTTTAAGGCTTATACTTGCTTGGCCCTGTTTCCGTGCCATCCCTTCCTGGAGTGACGTTATACTCATTCCAAGGGGTGGTACAGAGATTAGTATCAGTTTTTATGTACTAGGGGTTTAACATACCTTAAATATATGTATTTGGGATGATTGCCATTGTGGGTAATCTAAGGATTGTGGGATAAAGTGCTAGGAAGTTGGTATTCCATAAAAGTGGGATATCTACATGCTTCTGCAATTCCTTGATCCTGTGTAGATGTAGTATTATCCTTCTCTATTCCAGTAGCTAGTTACAGTAATATAAAAGCCAGCAAATAAGTAAATATTTATACTTGAACTGTTTTTTCCTGCCATGTCCATATTTGAAATTATTCTCTGTATAACATTTACAGAACCTGCGCTTTGCATATATTTGATTCTTATCTATTAGACATCAGTGTATTTGAAAGTTACACAGGCAAAGGGTGTATAGGTAGGAATTACCAAATCTAGAGGTAATTAGTTACCTGAATTCATTTTAATGCTTTCTAACATATTGCTACACCTCTAGATAGGAGCATAGATAGAATCACCACAATGGTAAATGGAAAAGCTTGTGAAAAATGAAGGACAGATAACCTACATGAGTATGGTGAGTAAGAACTGATTACCACATGGAACCTCGAAAAATGTAAAAATAGGCACACACACACACACAAATATGTCGAGTGGATAGCCGAAGATGTTGGGAATAATGACCAGAGTATACAACAATAATGTTTCCTCCTGGTCCCATGATTAGACCAAAATGTAACTTGGAGATAGCATCAGTACAGCACAAACATGCCAATTCATTTAGGCCTAATTAAAAACAATTCACCCAAATCAGTATATTGAATGTGAACATATCTTATAACTTTAGCTTCAGTTATTTATAGATTATGAGTGGCAGCATTATTTAGACAGCAGAATTTTGTAGGTAAAAGTTTTTGGTAGCACAGCAAAAACATGCTAACTCATTTAAGCCTAATTTAGAGACAACTTCACACATCTCAACAGCATTCTTGGCAAGTTTTGTGCTCAAGTCAGATAGGTGCTTACTTTGTACACTTATTGGTATGATAAAATTATAATGGGCTGTTATATTTTGAAAATTAAACAATTTCTAAATCTTATTGATTCTTAAAATGAAATCAAAATCTTCAAAGAAATGTTGAACTTCAAGATGTACATGTAGGCCTAGATATACAGGCTAAATATGCTATGTGACAGCACTAATTAATAAGATTTTAGTAAAACTGAAAATAGAAGGGGATAGAATAAAACCATTATTGACTAGTGATTTTGGACAGGAGATCATTTGTTGCCCTCATAACCATCAGATGCAAGAGACCAAATGTGGTATTCAAAACTCATATAGTCAATTCAGGGGCAATTTTTCGCTCACAAAAAGTAAGAACTGAAAGCTATTTGAACAGCTTCTGGTGTTAAAAATGGTCACCTCAGTAAAGTCAATGTGATCCGTCACTTTTCACACGTATATTTTTGTATCTTTAATTTACTAGGATTTGTCAAGAAATTGATACCTTAGTTCGTTTCCAATTGTCTTACCTGGTATAGGTAACAGGCACATAAGGTTTCTGGAGAAGTATGGGAACACTTTCCATTACACGTAGTAGTAGGTTGTCAATGTAATTTTCTAAGTCCCGAATCTTATTTTCTTTAAGATCTAAGGTTCTCTGTTGACAAATCACCAGTTCGACCAACTCCTGAAGAAAAGAGTAACACAAACATTAGGTTAAATATTAAAGTTTGTTTTAAAAACAAGCTATACCATCATGTCAAGAAAACATTAATTTAATTAAATTTTATATTTTTGGAATTAAAATAAAATACTGAAAGCCATTCCTTGTTGAGTTTGAACTCGGTCTATCAACAAAAATGCAATTTATAATTTCTGAATGTCCCTTATGTATTGCAGAGCATGTGTCACTTGTCTATAATTCTCCACTCTCTCACCTTCCATGTGGCTTATTGCACAACCATCAGAAGATCTAACACATGTTTTACTTTCCAGCTATAACTTAGATTTTATTGAAATTTGCAGTTGTAATAAAAATTTGGTTGCAGGTAGGTGTGAGGGAAGATATTTCACAGGCAAGTATATATTTGAAATTTATTTTAGTTCTAAAAATGTAAAATTCAAATTAAATAAACTTACATCTGAAACACTGAAAGTCAGAAAGAAGATGGAAACCAATGATCATGAAAATAAACAGAAAAAGCTAAAAGTACACACTACAGGGAAGGAAGATAATAATATAGTCATTAAGAAATATATGGCCAAACAAAGTCTGAGTAGAATCCAGAACTTGAAAATTATCCACAGGAAGACAGCATTATTTTCAAAGTAGTACATTTACACCCATAACTCTACTTAATTCAAGCATAAGGATAAGTTCTAACAGCAATTGTGGTGTATTGACACTCTGTATCCAACAATGACACACAGGTGGTAGCATAAACAGGTAGGAGGAATACTACTCAGTTTTTCAGTGTTATAAGCCACTGGGGGGGGGGGGGCAGTATTCAGATTTGTTCCAATGCTAGCCTGTAAGATGTCCCAGGAGGCCAAAAACATAACGAAATGTCAAATGTGATGAGATGTAACCTGAAGTTCACTTATATGTTGATTGGAAAAATCATGTTAAAACAAGACTGATCAGCTACACAAGCCAATTCATTAGCACAGGTGGAGCAACATTCATGAGTGAGAATCATCATGAGATCAAAATAATCAATACAATTGCTTCAGAAAGATTCTGTTCTTTTAATATAGGAACAAACACCCTAAAAATGTGTTGCCAACAAAGGCATACGACTTCTATGGCAAGTGAAAGTGGCTGAAAGAACAACTCTGTAGCCTGCAATAAAAGTACACAAGTTCCAATCATGAAAGAGGTACATGAAAAAACTGAATCCAGTTGTTGAGGAATTGTAGAAAAACAAGAAACTAAGTTCTGCAGGCATTACTAACTCCTACAGTTAGATCAGTGAAATTGGTATACTGCCAGGGAGAAATGTCTGCAAGAATGTGACAACATCAACAAAAGACTGCATAATGAGATGTGGAAAATAGGAAAATGATGAAGCTGCAGATGAAAAGTGGAAGATGGACTAAAAAAGTAATGGAATAGGATCCCCTGAGATAGATGAGAGCAATACAAAAGAACAGGAAAATAGGACCAACTGATCTTAGCTAATACCCAAAAGACACAATGAAGAAGGTACAGACTGAGAAAAAAATTATTCCAAAAAGGGCTCAAAACACCCACTGCTGGAGAAGCTGTACCTGAAACTAGAAATTAATAAAGCATTAAAAGATGATGCCCTGCCATCAGGAATCATCATTCATAGGCTGACCAAACCATTGACACAACCAATGAAATACCAGATCAGAGAAGGATCTGAGGTGAATGTAGTCAAAGAAATAGAGATTACAGCAACCAATGCTATGAAATTGACTCTCACCTTTTATGTAATATATATATATATATACCACCACAGTCAAAATGCCTGTGAGGACTAAAACACAGTAGCCATGTAACAAAGGGAGGAGGTCTTGACATTCATAATTACCAGCCCAAAGCTCCAACAGAATGAGGTGAGAAGAGGATATCTAAGACTACAGACCCAACACATCACCATAGCCCTGGAAAAGGTGGAAAAAATGAGCCACACTAGAGAGTAATTGAGAGTAGTAGGAGAAATTTTAATAGACAACAGATCTGAGGACAGACTCCACAAAGGGGAAGATCCCACTGACAAGAAAACATGATTCACTAAAAGCCAACATACAGGTTGTGTTTGGCAGATAAAGAAGTATGTGCAGCCAAAATGCCAAAAAAGACAGATAAAAGAGTTTCTAATAAATGGTTAATACAAAATCCCACATGTAATATTTGGGCTTGTGAACAATCCATTCAAGAGAAGAACTAAATGGGACATCAATTCAGTGTGGGGTAACAATGGAGAAAGATTCCTCCAATCATCCATGCAATGCTGAAAATAGATATTTAGTGTGTGTGTGTGTGTGTGTGTGTGTGTGTAGAAGACCAGCTAATGGTTTGATAACATGTGTGAAGACAGAGGATGTTGAAACTAGATAGATAAAATGGACCATAAACTAGACAGAACACTCAAAATGTAAAAAAAAAAATATTAATAAGAAGATGGGTGAAATGGGATGTGTAAGTAAGCATCTTTAAAATTCCTACTCATCATCCAGAAACCATGATGAAGGAAAAAGAACTTTCATAAGGTTCTTATAGGTTTCACTAGGAAAGGAGGAAAATGTATATAAGTCCAGATCCAAAACTGAATAGAAACTGAAAGAATCAAACTAGAAGAGAATGATGAATAAAAAAATAGCTTGGCTTTGTTTTGAATTTTGTGCAAAGCCACACGAGGACTATCTGTGCTAGCCATCCCTAATTTAGCAGTGAAAGACTATAGGGAAGGCAGCTAGTCATCACCACCCACTGCCAAATTTTGGGCTACTATTTTACCAAAGAATTGTGGAATTGACCATCACTTTATAATGCCCCCATGGCTGAAAGGGTGAGCATGTTTGGTGGGACAGGGATTCAACCAACGACCCTCAGATTGCAAGTCAAGTGCCCTAGCCACCTGGCCAGGTTGGAACTCTATAAAATAAAAAAAAAAAAAAAAAAAAGTTGATCTGAAGAATTTGAAGAACCAAAGAAACACAAATCCATGGGTCCATAGATGAACAAAAATCTGAGATGACCCCCCCTAAAGTCTGAATAGAGGAGCCATCAGGAACAGAGTCAGTAATGAGTAGGTCATAAAGACCTTGTTTACATTATCACTTGACCACAAGAAAAGTGTAAGTAGATTTAACAATCATCAAAGAATCGATCCACAGGGGCCTCACAAAATATCAATTTTTTTTTTACTTTTAAAATTTTGTGGTTTTTATGTGTACTGTAGTTTTTAAAATGACTTGTGTAGTTTTAAAATAGCTTTATATGTAATTAATTTAAGTAATATTTTAAGCCTAAATTTTCTATGTTATAATCTATGAGAGAGATCAAGCCAGCCAAATGATAAATATGTAATTAGTAAATGAATTCATTTGAAACTAATTTGTATTTTTCACTTTAAATACCTTGCTATTAAATAATTAAAAGGTATATATAAGTTTTTAATTTTTTTGTGGCTACCCAAGGTCCTGTTTTGGTACCCCCATTTGTGAGACCTTCTGGTGTAACTTTTTAACAAGGGGCCTCCAAGCTTTATATAGCTTAGGGCCTCACCAAGTCTAAATCCGGCACTGATCAGAAGCAAAATGAGATTCTAAAACCTAATAAACTCTTGCTGGCAAGCTTCCCCTGATCACAAAACAAGTTAAAGTGTCATTTTTTTAAGTGTGTGTATGTATATACAAGTAAATATGTCCAGATATAAAAGACTGTTTAGTTTAAATGTTATTGATTGATTTGTTTTTGTTATAATAAGAATTAAAAGCAGATGATTGTAGGAAGTTGTGTTTATAAGTCATTGGTGTTGAGAATATCGAAGGTGGACAGACGATTTGGTGACAAAGATATAAGTAGAGTGAGACAAGCAAGAAGCAGCAGACAGATAATAAGAGAAAAATAATAAAGTTGGCGTGAAGTTAAGTACTTTAGAAGTGATAAGCCTAAAGATTTACAGAGGCCTAACATTTAATATGTTAGAGTGAAACTAACAGTAGAAAAAAAGATAAGAAAAATAATTATATTCTGTCAAAGCGTGGTTCTAAAGTAATTGGATCAGCCTGAGTGCACTTTGACAAAAGGAGCAGAGGATCGTCAAAAGAAAAAAGACCAAATGATTATGGTAACTCATGCCACAATTGTAAGTGAATCACAGAGAATACTATTGTGATAGTAATAGAGAAGATAGTTCGGCTTGTCAACTGAAACTCTAAGGTAATTGAATAGGCCTAAATGGTTATTTGACAAGAAGGAGAGAACTATATATATATATATATATATATAGTATTTATATGTCCATAATATCTATAATGTTGAAGAGTTTATTGTACATACGTTAACTTGTTCTGAAAATATATATATATATTATATATTTCTGACAAAATACAACAGGCCTAATATTATAAGTTGCATCAATTGTATATAGGTGATAAACTAAGCACTATATAGATTAGTACATAAACCAAAACCAAAACTGTTACTCATAATAACTTTCAGCTACGTAAACTTATCAAAATTACATGAATAACTAACTATATATATATATACAAAATTAAAATCATACCATTTTGCAAATAATTGAATAGAAACTGAGTCAAAATCATTTATTTCTAAACACGAATTCACAAAAATAAATGCTAAAAATATACTCAAGTTTTGTGTATCTAATAACTACATTTTTTCTTTTTAATTAACAAGTATTTGAACAAGTTTTGGTCAAATGTGAGTAATCTGTATCAGTATTTTTATAAAAATACTTTACTGAAACAAATAACAAAACCTAGTTTATAAGTGTTTGTTTTCTTATAGCAAAACCACATCTGGCTATTTGCCGAGGGGAAACAAACCCCTGATTTTATTGTAAATCCAAAGATTTATCGCTGTCCCACCGGAGGACTAGTTAATAACCTTTTACTTTCCATTATATTGATTATTTAATGACAGTGTTCAATATTGGGCTCCTTATGTTAGAAAGAACATTGAAATGG